CACGCATACCCATTGATTTCACAAAGCGTTGGAAAGTATCGATTTCGATACGTGGTCATTTCCACCCGTCTTGTTGACCGCTGCTAGGTGCTGCTGCAAGGTTCCGTATCCTACAATGGTGTAACTACAACACTTTTGTTCCGACATCTCACAGAGGCACCTCACGGAGGAGGCACCAAGGAGTCACGTGCAGCCCCCGACCACAATACTCTCCTCGCGCGCCCAGCGCTTTATACAAAAAACTGCAATTCTATCATCAACACACAAAACAATAAGACACAACATTCTGGATGCATTACTCATTCATGACCACAAACGACTTCTAAGCAAAGAAATGAATCAAACTACTGACATCCCCTTTGGAGCAGCATCAAAAATACATCACTTGACAAAGAACAAGACACTGATGACTGACGCGAGTATTGGGTGATTGGCATGCCGTGTTGTGATTTGCTGTGTGATTGAGCTATTCACAGTGTGTGGTGGAGAAGGCCTATTACTTCGTGAGCTTCCTAGAGTTCAGGGTTCTATCCACCAAATCCTCGTATCCCGACCATTGAGATCTAATATGTATGCAGTTCTAATATGTGTTCTTATGTTTGCAGTTTGTATATGGGAACCTAGCTTGCTACGCACAGATCCAGAAAACTGGGCGAGCTACTATGCGAATACATGGAACTTGTTCATTTTCGCCGGATCATGGTGGATCCTGCCATTTTAAGACTAAGTACTTCGAAGAAAACATGGCAACATACAGTTAAATTGGCTGCTAAACACCATCAAAATCAAGCACAAGCTTGATTACCAGCTTATATACGATTAGCCGGATAGTTGATGGAGTCAGCTGATGGCTGAGGACTAATACGGAGTTTTTGCTTTGTCTGGTGCAAGGGAATACTGAATACCTTATCCTTCAAAATGTATTAAAACGTAACGTACAAGTGTAATAATCGTGGCAAAGTTAATAAACAACGGAAATAATATGCACGACGTCGGCGGGGTATAAAATTATGTTCGACAATTAACAGAGCAAATTAATCGGTGTAACCGGCATAGCCGCAAATCCAATCATCAGTTGGTAAGAGGCAAAGCCCCAATAAAAATGATTAAGATTTAGGTCCCCGCTAACGGCGTAAGCCCTCCTATAACATGGGAAAACCCGAGACCATTAGGGACGGCACCTGAGCAATCTAAACTGCCGTGGCAGGCCAACAAAGAGGCTCCAGTGAACAGTGAAGGGTCCTCATAACATGCAAGAAGAACCTAACACCAATATGGTGGGACCCCTGAACGATCACAAGGACCCCCGCAGGCTAGCATAGAGGGTCCGGCCAGAATACAGGACCCCTGAGCAAAGGGCAATGACCGAAGATCAGTGTACATGAATTAACGCCCCTGTGTGATCAGGAGTGTCCGGGCAGGGTAACAGAGAGAGCTCTGACAAGTGAAGGACCCTCAGCAAATCAGCTGTAAAAGAGAAAGAGCCATAGGTCAATGAAGAGGACCCCTGAGCATCGAGTGCCTCGGAGCGTTACCTTATATGGGGCCCCAACAACAGCACGGGGTCTTCCAAGCAAGTGGAAAGAACCTGATATGAAGAACCCGATACCAATATGAAGGGCCCCTTGGCAACCGAGTGTACCACGGCATTTGGGGCTCCGGCACCAGCGGCGGGGCGGGAGAGCCCCCTTACCCCGCGAGTGCAGCGGTGGAATGCCAGGTTGACTGTGCCATGTTGACAAAAAGGGAAATAGCGGTAGGGGTCAGCGATGCTTACGTGGTGTCATCTAGCAGCAGGAATCCAAACTAGCCTCAGTGCTGGGGATACTGGACACTTTGAACACTGGACTTTACGACTCCAGACTTTGCGCCTCTGGACGTTGCACGCCTGGACCTTATGAACGTCCCCAGTGGGCATGGAACTGGACGCACCCTTGGCGTTATGAACGCTGGATGCTGCGATCCTGGACGGTATGAACACTGGAAGCTGCAATCCTGGACGCTTTGATGGCTCCCCAGCCCCTCCCTCCTTGCTCGGGTCCACATACGGCCGCAGACACCGGTCAGCAGACATCCAGTGAGCACAAATAGAAGCAAAGCAGACGACAGACGTCCGTACATCAGTGCAGATGTCCAGTCACAAACGCTGATCTAGGGGCATCGCACAGCCGTTCAGACCCCACGGCCCATCCTCACCACGGTCCGTGGCCGGCCACACACAAGGTCAGCCGCGGACCATTCGCTCTGCAGCTCCGCTCGTGACGCGGGAGTGTCGGAGCCAGCGTTGCTACAACGGCCGTGGCTTCACGGGAACGCCGTGAACGCGAGACGGCCGCCAGCGGCCGACGAGATGGTCGCCTCCAGATAGGTATCAGGAGAGATCCAGGATGGCACCGCACACGTGCGCCGTCCTGCCGCGCAGTGGAAAGTTCAATCCTGTCTGATCTTGTGGTGATGTTAATCTCCACAGGCATGTAATGGCGCCCGGTCAGCACTCTTGGATATATTGAATTAAGTGCAAAACTGCCAACCTGACGTCATTTCTGCTTCGATTTCGTTTGTTCAATTTATCGACTCGGTTCCTGCGGGAAATATACCCTCCCAGACCACGGTAGTGCTCCTCCTAGCCAAAAAAACGTTCACCCAGCCATGCCCTTCCCGCCTGTACAACGCCCAGCCACACCCTTCCCGCCTGTACAACACTCAGCCATACCTTCTCGCCTGTACAACACCCAGCCATGCCCTTCCCGCCTGTACAACACCCAGCCATACCTTCCCACTTGTACAACACCCAGCCATACCCTCCCGCTTGTACAACACCCAGTGAGCACTGCGCAAAGCTCGGACTCCCAAAACAAATGACAGCACCACAAAGTAGGTAGGGTGGATAACATGCCAACACTGGCAGGAACATTGTGTAACGTGTAAACAATCGGCGATCAGCTCGGCAACGCGCATAATCCTACTGAAATGTGAGCTTCAAAGCCACTAAACTAGTGTAGCGTGCCCGAAAGTATATTGACACATTTGAACGCGCGTTATATACACTTTAAACTGTGTCCCCATTTCTCAATATTTCATTAAGTTTGAACATGCCAATGTGCCCGTCACTCAATTTTACACACCTTCGAACCCGGGATGGCAAGCTTGGCACAAGATGATACAGAGCATGTGCTGAAATGCGACATCACGAGTTCGTGAGGAGTGATTCGGGCTGCCCTGAGCTGGTAATTGGCTTGGTTTCATCGAGGCGCTCAGAACTGACCACAGACTCTTTGTGGGATTCAGGCCTGGTGAGTAGTCCGGTCACTCAACTTTGTCCCAACATCCGGACAGATGGTGTGCGCACCACTACTGGCTCTGTGTAGACGAGTGAGCTGGAGCTACATCAGCATGAAACTTACCTGCGACCTCACTTCCACCACTTTTCGTTTTGTGGCAGTTTCCCTTACTGACGGGCGATTCATGCTAGAAGCAGCGACCTTTCCAGCACCCTAGGCACATGATGTTCTTGGTCGGCCGCCTGGTTTTAAGGACGGCCTGTAGCTCGTTTAACGCCTGAGCGCACATTGCAGTCCACGCTACCAGCTTTGCAGGCTGCTTGACGTTTTTGACCGACCGGCCTCGGCCGCTCGATCTTGCCCAAGTACGGTCGCCTTGGCGATTACACGGACCTCGAGCCGAGGTCATCAACTCATCGCCCCAGATCACCGTGCAATTTATCGACACACCAATTTTAATCTCACTGCACAATTTCAAGCTTGATTGTCTTAGTTTTTCTGCATTTTTTCTGTCGTTTGGTACGTGTGCAAATGAAAGGAATGTTTCGTGAGCTTGACTTGGACGCCTGGGCATCCTTTCCTAGAAAATATTGTTGCCAATTGCCGCACGCTCCGGCCGGCCTTGCGCTCTGCCTTACCGCAGATGATCTCGGCCACGCCGCCGATTGCAACACGTTGGCCAGTGCACCTTTGAAAGTCAACCGATCGCCTTTGAAATGTCCTCACCAACCCATGTTTGCAGCCTGACGGGACACTTTAAACGTTTCTGTAACTACAGCCTAGCTA